AGCAGCGGCTCTACTCTGACTCCCCCTCGGATGACTGATCTCTAAGGGAGAGCTCAGACACACAACAGAGAAAACACATTTCAGCTGCTTGTATCCGGAATCTCATTCTTTCGGTCATGACCCAAAGCTCATGACCATAGCTGAGGGTAGGAACGTAGATCGACCCGTAAATCGAGAGCTTTGCTTTTTAACTAATTTCTCTCTTCACCACAACAGACCGGTACAGGGCCCGCTTCACAGCAGACGCCGCACCAATCCGCCTATCAATCTCCCGCTCCATCTTCCCCTCATTCGTGAACAAGACCGCAAGATACTTAAACTCCACTAGGGGCAGTACATCCTCCCCAACCCGGAGAAGGCACTCTACCCTTTTCCGGCTCAAGACCACGGTCTCGGATTTGGAGGCAGTGATCCTCATCCCGGCTGCTTCACACTCGGCTGTGAACCACTCCAGGGAGAGCTGTAGATCACGCCCTGATGAAGCCAACAGAACCACATCATCTGCGAATAACAGAGATGCAGTCCTAAGGCCATCAAAACAGGTCCCCTCAAAACCTTGGCTGTGCCTAGAAATTCTGTCCATAAAAGTTATGAACAGAATCTGTGACAAAGGGCAACCTTGGCGGAGGCCGGCAATGCGGACCAGGCTCTGACACCAGTCATACAGAGACCTAACAAACCCTATTAAAGGGCCCGGTGCTCCATACTCCCAGTGTACCCCCCACAGGACCCCCTGAGGGACACGGTCGAATGCCTTGTCCAGGTCCACAAAACACATGTAGACTGGTTGGGCAAACTCCCAAGCACCCTGCAGAATCCTGCTGAGGGTATAGAGCTGATCCAGTGTTCCACGGCCACTCTGAAACAGATTTTAAGATTATGAATCACTAAATGGATTACCACCGAAATACATTTAAGTACATCAACCTTTTAAACCACTCGGGTCTTCTGGCTCAGTGTACTGTGCATATCCATATCTAAACATAGAGAAGCAGCATTTGGCTTTTTGATTAATGTAGGTTCATAGAGCTACATAGGTTGCCGCTGAAAACCTATTCTGCTTCTCCATGAGGACACGATGAAGCTAGTATATGCTTAAAGACCTTGCACTCCTCCACCGTTTGACAATTATTTTCAGATTCTTGGGGACATGTTTGGCCAGTCCAGGATCTTCACTCTCAGTTTCTTCAGCATATCAGTGGTTGAATTGGGGGGGGATGTTTGGTGGTGTTTCTGAAGGGAGGGGATCATACTGCACTTCTATCATAGGTTTTGCTACGATCACAAAAAACATGGTTTGAGCAGCAAAGAAGCGTCTGCTGCTTCATCTTTGATGCTTGTTCAAATTAAGGTCCCAGTAAAGTGTGAACAGCTGCTGCTCCTGTGTTCAATGTCAGAGAGTGGCTTTGCCATGTTTGCTGTGAGAAGGTAGGCCTGAAAACATTGTCTGTGCAGCCAGTTCATCAAGATTACGATCCTGCCTTAAAATATTATTTCACTATCGGAGCTGCAAAGAGCCCCACATACCAGCGGTGCGCTGTCACTGTGAATCCAGCAACAGCTACCTCAGACCAGGTCCCCTCATGGAGTTTTTTTCCCCCCTACAGTCGTTTCATCAGGAAGTAAATGCTGGCGTTATTCAGGTATGTGCTACAACCTGCAAACACCAGAATAATAAAAGCAAACATATTTTG